AGAGCATAGGCAGCTCCACGGACCCACGTGTGTCAGCAACACACACACACACCACACACACACACCCGCCTCCCAGATTCCTGTTGGCGGCTCCAGGGAGCCAGAGCTGCAGTTTTGATCCCGTCTGTCCCAGGACGGGCCACTCACGCCAGCCCCCCAGCTATCTTTCCCCCCCCCCGCCGCCCAATGGCTCTGCTGGCACCAAGGACTCTGCCACCCAGTGCGCAAGCCCCGCCCCCAGCTTGTGGGAGGCCCCGCCTCTACTCAAGCCCCCCTTCCCCCAGCGCGGCTCGCCAGGCCTGGGGCACCTCGGGGGGGTGGGGGGAGCACTTTGGCGAAGGTGCGCCACGGGGGTGGCTGACTTTGTTCCCCGCCAACCTGCTCGGGGCAGGGGAAAGGCCTGGGCCGCAGGGAGCCCGTCCCGTGGGTCACTTGGTCCAAATAGAGTCTCCCTCCACTCCGTGACCCCGTCCTCGGCTTGGGTGCCGAGAGCTGGAGGTGAAGGCCATGGGGGGGTTAGGCACCCAGCTTAAAATGGGGAGGGGGGCACCTGGATCCCTGCGCCGGCCGGTCCCCACCTAGTGCTGCAGCTGGGCCCCACGGCTCCCCAGTACTGAGGGTAATGTGATGGTGAATGCTGGAGGGCCGGCTAGGCCTTCTCTAGGCACGGGAGGCTGAGCTGGGTTATCTCGAACCCCCCGATAGCCCCCCCCCATTAACCCTTTGCTCGTTCCCTGTGCAGCCCTTGCTGGTCTCCCCCAGGCCTTTCTGGAAAGTGTGTGGGGGGAGGGGGATTCCTTGCCTTTCCCAAGTCTTAAGCCCTGTCTGGGGATGGAGAGTCACAGAGGTGGTGTGAAGGTGTGGAAATCAACCCCCTGGCCGCCCCCCAGCTCCTCAAAACCACGATATTACGGGTACTCGCTTTGGGGCGGCTGGCGGGTAGGCCCCAGTGGAGCCGCTTCCCAGTCCAGGCCAGCTGTGCGACATCTGGGACACCCCCTCCCCCCCTCCCCCTGCCTGTCGTCCACTCCCCACGAGCACTGAAATCAACTAACCTACCTTGGGGGGCGTGGGGGGGGTGGGAAGCCCTGAGATGGAAGCAGCCTGTCATGCATTCCCCCACCCCCCTCCCGTCGTCTTTAAAAAGTAGCCTTTTTTCTATCAAATAACCTCAAAAACTTTTTATTTTATTTTTTTGCTTTGAAATAAGAGGTGGAGTTGAAGTCTATTTGAACTGACTTTATATGATGCATAAATATTTATATTTTATCTAAACTGCGCTGTAACAAACTTTTTTTTTTTAAATATTTTGGAGCGGTCTAGGTTTTTTTTTTTTTCCTCTTTCTTTTTGGTTTGTGTTTTTGTTTTTGTCATGGAAAAGTTTTAGTCTCTGTAATGGTGTTGTGGTGGTGTTTTTAAAAGTTTTTTTTCTTGATAAAACACCCTGAATTTTAAATCCCCACCTTCCCTCTTAGCCCCTGCCATCCCCCCAAAATTAATCCAGACGTGTCTGAAATCCCACCCGCTCTTCCTTATTGGGGATGCACCAGAGTGTAGAAATCCATTCTGGACTGAGTACAAGAAATGTTAAGATGTGGAATATATTTTGTTTTTTAACCCTTAATGAGTTGGCTTTGTAAATTACATTTTTTGGGGGGGAGGGGTTGTCTAGAACTGGCCTTCCCCCTCCCCTCCCCTCCCGCCCCGTCTCTGTCTGATAAAACAGGAAGAACCAACCACCGTAAAAGAAAAATGTTCTGATGTTCCTTGTAAAAGGAACAGGACTGGCTCTTTTTTATATAACCAAATGTGGTGTTTTAGTGACTTTTTGATAATGTACAGTTTTTGTGAATTTAAATTTATTTCTTTCTATATTTTTAGGACCAATCTCATTTTTAATAAGGTTTAAAGGAAAAAAAATATTCTAGATTAACTCCTGTTTGTTGCCATGTGATGTTCCCACAAGTACAGCGGTAGAGAGTGCTTGTCAAGTTGCGAGAATAAAAACAAACCCACGTTTGATAGAGACGGTGTCGTCGGGGGTGTTTCTGGTGGGGGCAGCTGGATGGTGGGGGGAAGAGGGAGAGATCCCAGCTGGCTTTTCAGATCTGAAGTTCAGGCTGCGTGTCGGGAAGGAAGAACGGGCATTAGGCAGAAGCGGTGCCCAAGAGAGTTGGGAGCATCGAGTCAAAGGGATGTGAGCTGTAGGGAAAAATTCCTCCGCTCCCTGTTTGGTTGGAGTAGAAGCGCCCCTCCCTCATTTTATTACAGGGCGTTTAAAAATTCCCCAGCAATCCCCTTCCGGGCCGCTCCATATCCCCCCTCACCAGCCCCTGCTGGAAAAATCTCATCCCTACCGTTCACTAGCCGTGCCAGGAAGCGGGCAAAGGACAGCGGCCAGGCCTTGCTCCGATCTTGTCCTGGTATAACGGCCTGGGGCGTGTTTTCTTTGCTCCAGCGTTGCTACCGCGCAAGCCTCAGGCTGGGCATGGTTCCCCGGGGTGCAAGGGGCGCGTAACCTGGTAGCTCATTCCCTGGGGTGTGGCTTGGAGCACTCCCATGAGGGTCTGACTGCGCCCGCCCCAGGGCACTGTAACTGCACCAAAACGCAGCTGGTGGGTAAATGAGGCTGTCACCGTTAGAAAGCTGAGCGGCCTAGGGGATTGAGGCACCCACTACAAGGACTGGAACTTGGGCCCATGCAGCTGGGAGGTGGTGGCTCCCGCCTGCCTCCCTTTTAACTGGCTCCCGGGCCGGGGGAGCGGGAGCTGCCGCTGCAGAGGCGGTTGGCTGCCTGCACCCGCTGAGTCATGCCTGTGCAGCTGCTTCTGACGCATCTCAACCCGCCTGATCGCTGGGCTCCCTCGCCGCCCCCTCGGCTTGGGAACGCCGGGAGGGAGCCTGGCCCCTCCCGTGCGGCAGGACCGAGCTGCAGCCCCGGGCAGCACTAGAGGGGCCCGGTTCCTGCTGCTCCCCCGGCTCCGTTCTCTCCCGTGCTCCTGAATTAACCCAGCTTGTGTGGAGCCTGGCCCCTGCTCTGACCCGAGCGGGTCCCCTCTCCGCCCAGCTTCTCTAACAGCAACTGCTGCAGCGCCGGCCCAGGGTCACGGCCGCTGATCTCTGCCCTGGGGGTGGGGGCAGAGCCTATACTGGGCTGCGGCGCAGCCTTGAATACACTGTCCCCCACCCCCATGGCTTAAGAACAGGGGACCAGCTTGGACAGTGGCCGGTGGCTAATACTTGAGGGTGTGAACAGAACAGGGCCAGTAGCGAGTGTCCAGCCCCAGCTTCTGACAGAAGTTTAGAGCCACCTGGAGCATGGGGGCCAGGGCCAGACCTCTATGAACTGGTTTCATTCTGCTTTTGGCCTTCACAGTGTCCCCTGGCAATGAGTTCCACAGGTTGTGCATCATGTGCCTAGTTGCCGGAGAGCGCCCCCCTGGTGCTGGAAGCCAGAATTGCTGCGGCTGTACTAACCGACCAGGCCTTGCCCAGGCAACCGCCAAACCACAGAGGAGACCGAGCCGACTTTTCTTTCCCACCTTTTTATTTAAAAACAAAAACTTCCACATGAGCAGAGTGGGAGCTCCATCAGAGGCGGGGGGGACGGGGGACACACAAGCCCGGCTGGAGCACAGAAGCGGGAAGAATACAAAACTAGAAACCTCGAGATTTTTTTTAAAAAACCCCAAAACTTAAAAACCTGTACAAAATGCTCCTTGGTATAAATTAAAGGGTGCTAACTCCTGGGGGGAGGGGGGGCGGTGCAAGACAGGGCTGGGGGGGGGGGAGAAGCAGCACGGGGCAATGGCAAAAGAGGTGGTTGGTTTAGCATCCCCTTTCTCCAGTGGGCCCCAGCCCCCTGCCCGGCCGTTATGGCCTCGAGCCAGTGCTGGGGCTAGCCTACAGCCCTGTGGGGCAGGCGCGTGACCCCACACCCGCGGGTCTCATGTGTGATTTGGTGCCTGCAATGATGCCAAGGCCAGAGGCGGGTGCTGGGAGGGCCACGGGTGCAGCGGGCGGGCTGAGATGGGGCCGGCGCCCCCAGCTTCGGGGGGTGGTTCTGGGGGTCACAACCGCTACAGCTCAAGGCTCGGAGCTGCCGATTTCAATGGGGGAGGAGCAGCTGGCACAGACCCAAGGCCTTGCACCCCTCCCTCACCGTCTCAGGCAAGAGCCTGTTTTTGGCAGGCCAGGCACTGGCCAGCATCCCCAGCCTGGCACCCAGCTCCAGCCTGCCTGGCGAGCCCGGGCTCTGCTTCTCCGGCTAACGCTCCTCTGCTGGGATTAAACCCCACGCTGGGCTGGTCCTAAGGCAGCAGGCACCAGCCTTGAGGCTGTGGCTTCCCGTCCCCAGGCACCAGCGATGCCCGTGGCCTGTCCTTTAATGCCAGAGGCTGTTTTATCCACCACCACCCCGCCCCCCTGTGGCTTCCCGGCCCCAATGCTGAGCACAAATGCGGCTACTTCTCCCTCTTTGGTTAGCTGCCGGGGTGTGAGCCCGGGTGGGACCCCCCCGCTGTCATCCCCCGCCCCAGCCTGCTCGAGACCTAACCCACTCCCCGACCCAGGCAACGGAACAAAATGCCATCTGAAAACACAACCGGCGGGGCCCTGCCTGGCGAACAGGTGCCCCAGTAATTAGCAGCAACATGAGGTTTGTGAAACCATGAACGCTCCCCCCGGGCAGGGGGGGGGAACCGGCAGAGAGCGGGGAATGGGCCATGGCTTTGCACCGCTGGGCTTGGGAGAGAAGCCGCCATGGGGGCGAGGTAGCTGTGTAGCGGGGGCGAGTTGGACGCAGAGCCGGGTTCAGGAGAGGGGAAGCCATGCTGGCCAATGACGGGCAGTGCGCTGGGGGCCGGGAGGTGCTAAGCCAGGATCTGCCAGGCCTCAGGGACTGGCACAACTCCCAGGGCGTGTGGGCAAGGGGGTCTCTTGGCCTAGGCTGTTAATGGGGGAGCTAAACGCCGCCCGCCCTGCGCTAGACCCTAAAGTGCAGGGGCTGGATCTCAGGCAGGGAACGATCAAGGCACAAGACTCAAAATCCAGCAGGATATCTGCCCAGCCAGGCCCTACCCCCTGCACTGGCAGTGGGGCAAGGGGGGGCAAATGGCCTCTTATTGCTCAGACCTGAACACCAGCAGTGGAGCAGGGAACTGCAGCGCCAACTGCCCCCCTGCCTGCCCCAGGGTGGGCCCCACCAGCAGGGGCCGGCCTTGGCCCATGGCTAGGCTAGGGCTGCAGGGCCCCGTGCCCCCCAACAACCTGTGGCGCCCCAAGCCCAGGAAATGCTGGAGTGGGGCGGGGGCAGAGCTGAGACTAGCCCCCCCCCACACACACACACGCACCCCAACACTCCAGATGCTTAGACCCCCCTGCTCCCCCCTTCCTAGATACGACACGGGGCAGCAGCCGAGATCAGGGGAGTGGGGACAAGCAGGCCCCCCAGGGGGCAGGGAACCCAGCTCGAGGCAGAGCGGCACTTTTTTGTGGGTCCCACACTGCCCCTCACCACCCCCTGCCTGCCAAGGCCTGGCCCCAGCTGCTTGGGTTGACAATGGGGGTCTCCGGCTGCCTGGAAAGGGCTTTGTCCGGGGGGCAGGGGGTGCTGATGCTGCCCTGATGTTGTGGGGCGGCGCCGTGGGGCCCAGTGATCTTTGGTTAACGGACAAAACCCTGAACCTGGCGCGCTGGGCCCCCCCCACTGGCCCAGGGCTCAGAGGCCCAGGGCTGGCCTGTCAATAGGGGGGCAGGGACAGGAGGTTTATTGGCTGGGGTGGGGGAGGACAGGCTCAGGTGTTTGGGGCAGGTAACTAGCTAGGGAGGAGGAGGTACCACTAGGGCAACCTATTGGCTTATTTGTAATGAGCCCCCCCCCCCCCAAGTTGTTACAAAGTGCTGAGGTGTTTTTTTGGGGGGGGCGCTTGGCTTTTGAGGGAATGCCCCCCCCCATGCAGCTGAAATGGACGAGGGACTCGCTGTGCCTTCTGGAGGCGCCAGCTGCTCTGGGCACCCGCCCAGCAGCCATGGCCAGGACCCCCCCACAGCAAACCGCAGGCCTGCGGGTGGGGGTTGCGCAACCAAAACACCCCAAAAAGCAACGCCACAGAAAAAGCAAACAAACGTAAACCTTCTTCAATCGCCCCCCCCCCCGCTGACACATCCGTGCCCCCCCCGTGCATTCATGTCACAAATCAATACAACAGTTTTAAAAAACCTGCATCAAACAATTTCAGCCGAAGACGCCGTCACAGCCAGCGACGCCAAACCCCCCCCCAGCGCTAGCGTCAGCAGGACCCCCCCCAACACCTCCAAAAGGTGGAACTTAACACCCAGAACATGGGAGCAGCAAACATCACAGCTCTACGCTCCCCCCCCCTTGCACCCCCCGGCCAGGGGGCTGGGAAAGGAGGAGGAAACTTTTCTCTCTTTTTTTTTTTTAAAAAGGAAATTTACAAAAAAATTCATGAAAAAACAAAAATCTTCAAACGCAGCCATTGGGGGAGGGGGGCAGCCAGCGTGCAGCTTTCTCGGGGTCCCCCTGGGGCTCTGTCCCCCTCCCCCTCCCCAGCACTGGCCCAGCGCGTCGGAGCCGGCGGATTTCCGCCCGGTTCCTGCGCCAGGCCAGGTTTGCTGCCCCCACGGGGCGTGTGGCTCCCCGAGTTCCGGGTTCGAGCCCAGCGGCGCCAGCACCAGGCACCGCAATGCAGATTTAAGGCACCGCACGGGGCCAAGCGAGGCGCCAGCCGCCTGTGGATTTGGGCATTTTGGAGGCCTGCCCCCTCCCACGCCCCCCGCCAACGGGCCCAGGGGGAAGCCGGGGCTTTTATTTAGAATGGGAGAGGCCTGCTGGCAGGAGCGGGGCTCAGCGCAGATGATGTGGGGCAGCCTTTCTGCCCCCCTTTCCTCTGTGTTGGCACGTATGGGCCTTAGTGTCTAGGGAGGAAAGGCGGAGCTGGGCCGGCCGCTGGGCTGCTCCCAGAAACCATGCAACTGGGGGGGGGAGTTAGCGGCCGCTGTTCCCCACCCCAGGCTGGCTGGGTGCCCCCCTAGCTTCCTCAGCTGGGGGGGGGGGTAGGGTTAACATTTAACTTGCCAGACCCTGACCATCCTTCACCCCAACTGGAACATGGAAGTGAAAACACCTAACAAGAGTCCGCCCCTCCCCGCTGCCCAGAATGGACTGGGGGGGGGGGGGGAGGAAGAGATGCACCCCCCCCACCGCACCCACGCACTAAATACACCCT